ATCATCACCATTACCATGACCATGACCATGACCATGACCATGACCATGACCGTCAACGTCATCATCATCATCATCAGCATCATCATCGTGATCATTACCATGACCATGCCCATCATCATTATAATCATCATCGCCACGACCATCAACATCACTGTCATCACCAACATCACCATCATCATCATGCACACATCATCCTCATCCTCATCCACCTCCTCCTCCTCCTCCTCCTCCTCATCATCATCAACATCATCATCACCATCACCATCACCATCACCAGCACCATCATCGCCATCATCGTCACCATCACCACCACCATCATCGTCATCGTCGTCATCATCATCAGCATCAGCATCGTCATCATCAGCATCAGTATCATCAGCATCACCAGTATCATCATTAACATCAGCATCAGCATCAGCATCATCATCAGCATCAACATCAGCATCAACATCATCATCGATATCAACATCCACATCACCATCACACCCACCATAAGCAACACGGCTGTCCCGAGCCTGGAGACACGAGGTACCACGCGTGACCGGCCTGCCGTGCCCCTCGAACTGTCGCCACCCAGACTGCTGGACTGGCGCGCTGGCGCGACCTGCCGCAGGTGGATATCCAGACCCCCCGCCGTCGTGATCTCTCACACCCTCGACCCCCAAAGGTCTGGACCCCTTCCCCGGGACACCTTCTTTTGATCCCGAGCCGTTTTTGGACGATCCCGAGGCCTGGTAAGGGCCCCTGGGGGCTGCAAATAGCACCTCCCTCCCCCGTCGTGTTTTTTCTTCGCAGCGCGAAGGGGCCTGGGTATAGAACCCCGAACCCATCGAGACGATCCCGGCTCGGAGAGCCATGCCTCGCGGGCGCGGGGCTCCCTCCGCGGGGAGCCGCCCTCCGGCCGCCGCCCCCCCCCCCCCCTCCATATCCCCACCGCCGGTGCCCCGTGCCTCCTGCCCAGCCCTTGGGGTCCCTCTCGACCCTTCCGGAGAGCCTCTCCCGGGGGCCGCCTCGACGCCTGCGTGGGGGGGCCTCTCGGGCCGTCTGGGGGTTCGGAGCTCGGAGTCCTCTTGGGAGCCCCGAGTTCGGCAAGTCCTCTCGGCGCCGTGTGGAGTTCGGAGTCCTCTTGTGATGTCTGGAGCCCCTCGGGGGGAGCCGGCTTCGGGCGCCTTGGGCCTCTCTTGGGCTACAGCGGCGCTGCGAAAGTTTTGACCCGCTTCGTGCGTCCACCAAGACCACGCAGAACGAAGGCTCCAGCGATGGGTGTGGAAGGGGAAGGAGGACCAGAGGACCCTTCCCGCCCCTGTATGCACTACGCCAATGATGACAAATCATAGTGACACCGTGTAGGTATAGTTTTGGCTCCGCACTTTTGCTCCTGATGGAAGCGCGGGGCTGTCGGCCACCCAGCCCGCGTTACGGCCCGTCGGCCGAATGAAAGTCAGAAGGGGAAGCAAGGTGCAGCCCGCGACCCGCACTAGCAACCCGCACTCGCGACCGGCGTCCGCGACCAGCTCGCGACCAGAGTCTGCGACACGCGCTGGAGACTGCGCCCGCGACAGGCGACCTGCGCCCTTGTTGGCTGCCTCATTGTCTGGCTTCCTGCCGAATGTGCCCGCTCTTGCGGCCCTAATGGTTGTCTCATAAGCGCTCATGGCGCCTGTGGGACCACATTGCCAGTGACACCACTCCTGACAAGCAGCAGCACGCAATCCGGCATGTTTGAGCCAATCAGCACCTGAGCACCACAGGGACTGTGAGCACCCAGCCCCCTGTGGGACCACATTGTTAGTGAACGCCACTCCTGACAAGCAGCAACACGCAATCAAGACTGTTTGAAGCAAGAAACGCTTGAGCACCACCGTGACTATGAGCACCCAGCCGCCTCCAACCATCCGTCGCCAATCAATCCCACCACCCTTGCATTCCTCATCTGTCCACCCTCCCTCCTTCGTTTATCTTTCCACAACTTGATACCTCTTCTCTCCATCCTTCCTCCCTCCATCGCCTTCTATCCCTGGATCCCTCCACCCGTCAACTCATCTTCACTCTTCACTCTGCCCCTCCATCCTCCCTCCTCCCTCCCGGAATCCATCCAGCCATGAGTTCGTCCCTCCTACCTCCTTCCTCCATCCGTCCATCATCCTTCATCGCTTATCCCCTCATCTATCCTCCCTCCATCCCCGACCCATCCACCCACCCGGGTTTCCTGACTGCCTCCCTCTTTCCTCCCTCCATCCCTCTTCCCATCATCCCTCCTGCATCGGTCCTGCTCCCTCATTTATTCATGCCTTGTCACTCCTGCCTGCCGCCCTCGACTCCTCCACGCATCCGCCTTTCCTCACTCCTCTTTCCGTCAGACCTCCCTCCCTCCCTCATCAATTCCTCCGCCCCTCCCTCCCTCCTCGTTTATCCCTCACACCTCCTCCCTCCTCTCTCCATCCGCTCGTCCTCCTTCTTCCATCTGCCCGCCCTAGTTTCCTCTCCTCCTCCTCCTCCTCCTCCTCCTCCTTCCCCTCCTCTTCCTCCTACTCCTCCTCCCCCGCATCATCATCCTCTGCCTCTTCATCTTCCTCCGCCTCCTTCTCATAATCACCTCCTCCCCTTCGTCCTCCCCCTCCTTCGTGGAAAGATCTGCGAACTCATACATCGGTATGCGGTTCACTCCTGGACGGCATGCTGCTGCAATCCCTCTGTCAAGGGAACTCGCCCGGGGAGGGGAACTTTCTGCATGGCCCAGGGGGGACGCGAAGCGTCAAGAACTGTAGGCTGGAGAATGCACTTCGCCGAAGCCCCAACGGTCACTTTATGAAATGTTCACATGTCCACGGGACGGTAAACTGGAAGAAACGCTTACTCCGCCATGCCGACGCATCTGATGGTGCAACGACGAGGAACATCTTCACGGCCCCTGCGGGCGGCCTGTTTTGGAGAACACCGCGTGGGGAAACAAAGCCTCGATCCTGCACCAGATAGGTTCAGGCTTGTGTGTTGGAGGAAGTGGGCGGGAGCGCCATTCCGAAGTCAAACAAGAAAGATTCGGAATTTGTTTAGAGGAAATCCCAGGCGGGAGCGTCATCTCGAAATCGATCCAGAAGGGCTTCTAATTCTAGCTTGAAGGAAGTCTTGGGCGGGAGCGCCACATCGACGTCGAGCCCGAAATGTTTCGAATTCTGTTTTGGAGGAAGTCCTGAGCGGGAGCGCCATGTCGAAATCAAGCTGAAGAAGTGCTGACCTCTGTTGTCGAGGAAGTCCTGGGCGGGAGCACCATTTCGAAATCGAACCAGCAGGGTTGCGAACTCCAGTCTTCAGGAAGTCCTGGGCTGGAGTGCCATTTCGAAATTCTCCCGAAAGGCTCCGAAGTCTGTTTTGGAGGAAGTCCTGGACGGGAGTGCCTTTTCGAAATCGAACCAGAGAGATTCCGAATTCTTTTTTGGAAGAAATCTTGGGCGGGAGCGCTATTTCGAAATCGAACCCGTAAATTTCAAAATTGTTCGAAATATCTTTCGAGGAAGTCTCAAGCGAAACCGTCGCTTCGAAATGGCCGCACCGTTGGCATTTTTAACTCTAAAGTTCTCACCAGAGATTTCAAACATGTGTTTTCGCTCGGGACCTCCTCCAACAAAAACAGTTTTGAACGATTTCGAAACCTTGGGTTCGATTTCGAAATAGCGCTCCCACCCAAGACTTCCTTCAAGGGCTCGAATTCGAAAGTGCGGTTACGCCCGAGACTTGAGCAAACCAATGCTTGAACAGAACATCGTACTGGGGCCAAGTGGCCTAACGGGCTCCTTGGACGCCTCCTCTCTTGTTGCGGGCGCAACGCCCCTGACAACGTTGTACCGGGGCCCCGATGCCTAACGGGAGGCGCTGCATTTCGGCCGAACTTTCGTGGCGGCGAAGTATCTCGGGCCCCTCTTGGGCCGTCGTGGGGATCTCTTGTGACACTCTTGGGCGCCTCTTGGGCTTCTGGGGGCGTCCTTGGGGGCTCCGTGGGCCGTCGTAGCGAAACCCTGGGGACTGAGAAAGCCAGCATGCCCGAATCGTGCAGCAACCAACAGAAACCACATCAACATGGACCCTGCCTCTTGCAGGCCTCTCGGGCGGAGGCCCAGGCCCCGGTGCCGAGGCCTATGCTATGTGTGTGTGTGTGGCGCTGCGGCGCAGGCCACGTTTTGAGCAGGGACCGCCCTCCATCCGCCGGTGTAGCTGCCTGAAAGCCAGGCTGCAGGCTCGCACATCTCGAGGAAGTCTCAGGGGAAACGTCTGGCGCACCGTCATCGACGACGTGTCTGGTGGCTCGGCGACCAAGGGATGGAGGAGGATCCGGGATCGAGGATGCAGGCGTCTAGATGCGTGTTGGGCCGATTGGGCGTCTAGATGCGTGTTGGGCCGATTGGACCCTGCCGTGGCGCCCCCCGGGCGACCCCGTGGCCACTGCTGAATCTGCCACGAAGCTCCAGAGGGAACGCACCCGCTCCTCCTCGTCTTCCTCCTCTCCTTCCTCCTCCTCCCGTCCCTCCCGTTCGTCATCGTCCTCCTGCTCTTCCTGCCCTCCGCTTCCTCTTCCTCTTCCTCCTCCTCCTCCTGCTCCTCTCACTCCTCCTCTTCTTCCTGCACCACCACCTCCTCCTCCTCCCCTGCTTATTCTTACCCCCTGCTCCTCTTCGTCTCGTTCCTCCTCATCCCCTTCTCGTCCCCTTCTCCGTCCTCCTTCTGCTCCTCCTCCTGCTGCTGCTGATCCTCCACCTCATCTTCCTCCACCTCCACCACCCCAGCCTCCCCACCTACATCGCCGTCGCCGCCGTCGCCGTTGTCGCCGAGGTCATTGTCGCCGCCGCTGTCGTCGCTATCGTCATCGTCGTCGTCGCCGTCGTCATCATCACTTCCGTCGTCGTCGCCGCCGTCGTCACCGTCGCCGTCGCCGTCTCCGTCGCCGTCGGCGTCGTCTTCGCCGCTGGCGTCGCCGCCGCCCCGCCCCCGAGCAGGCGCGCGGGCGCCTGCCGCTTCTCCGCGTTGCGGCGCCGCGCCTCCACGAGCTCCTGGGGGGAGGCCCGGGGCGCCATGCCCCCCCCCAGGCGATGCCAGGGGGGAGCACCACTGCAGCAGACACATACGACAAGGAATCTTGTCACACACACACACACACTATATATGTATGTATGTATGTATGTATGTATGTATGTATGTATGTATGTATGTATGTATGTATGTATGTATATATATATATATATATATATATATATATATATATATATATATATATATATATATAAGAGCGCACTCTTCGTCGATGTTCGATGGTTTCAAGGTGCTTCAGAGCTTCTGTGGGCCCCCAAGACCAGCGAGAAATAAGACGCTTCCGCGGGGCACCTGCTGGCAGGCCGGCTACGGGCACCTCTGGACCCCCCAGGACCCCCGCCAAGACTCCCAAAGACGGCCAAGGCATCGGTCCCTGCTCCTCGGTCCGCGATTCCAGGGGGAGGTGGTCGCGCACCCCCCCCCCTAGTGGTCGCATAAGGACCTCTAGAGACCCCTAAGGGGGAGTGGGGATCATGAGGAGGAGAAGGAGGAGGAGGAGGAGGAGGAGGGAGGAGGAGGAGGAGGAGGAGGAGGAGGAGGAGGAGGAGGAGGAGGAGGAGGAGGAGGAGGAGGAGAAGGGAGGAGAGGAGGATCAACCGCAGTGTAGTCAGACGGGTCGGCTTGCAATGGTGAGGGTGGGCCTTCCCTGGCACCCCTCATCTCCCAGGGCAGCTTGGCACACTGGCTGCCCAAGGACACTGCGGATGCGGAGGACACTGAGGGCGGGGAGGAGTAGGGATCAAGAGGTGGGCTCGGAGGGAGGAGAGGATGAGGATGAGGATGATGATGAGGACGATGAGGAGGAGGGGGAGGAGGAGGAGGAGAAGGAGGATGAGGAGGAGGAGGAGGAGGACGAGGAATCGGAGGAGGAGGAGGAAGAAGAGGAGAAACGTGGAAAAGAAACGAGGATCACGCCTTCGGGCAACCGTGGATGTCCCGTGGCTCTGTCAGATCAGCAGCTCGAGAACCCTGGGTGCGCGTATCTGGAAGGTATTTTGAATACTCTCGGCGTAAGACGCAGATGACAGGATGCTGATGCCAATGCTGATTCTGCTGCTGCTGCTGCTGATTATGGTGGCGATGATGATTTTGCGGAGGAGAAGGAGGAAGAGGAGGAAGAGGAGGAGGAGGAGGAGGAGGAGGAGGAGGAGGAGGAAGAGGAGGAGGAGGAGGGGAAGAGGAGGGAGACAGGGCGGACGGGCTGGCTGGCTGGAGGAGGGACGAGGAGGAGGAAGAGGGAGGGAGGGAAAAGAAGGAAGCGGAGCGAGAATGGGGAGGAAGGAGGGATGAAGAGGAGTCGGAGGAGGCAGATGAGGAGGATGACAAGGGAGAGGAGGAGGATGAGGCGGAGGAGAAGGAGGAGAAGGATGAGGATGAGGATGAGGATGAGGATGATGATGAGGATGAATCTGATGCTGATGATGATGCGGCTGATGATGATAATGATACTGATGGTGTTTTTGATGATGATGCTGATGCTGCTGCTGATGATAATGATGATGCTGATGATTAGGATGATGCTGACTATGATGATGATGATGGTGGTGGCGATGCTGCTGATGATGAGCAGGATGAGGAGGGGGATGAGGATTACGCTGCTGCTGACTATGATGATGATGCTGATGATGATGATGATCTAGATGATGAGCATGACGCTGCTGATGCTGCTGATGTTGATAACGACGATGTCGACGACGGTGATGCTGATTATGATGATGCTGATGGTGGTGATGCTAATGCATGTGATGATGATGCTGCAGCTGATGGCGGTGATGATGATACTTACCACGATGACGAAGCTAAAGGTGATACCTATGCCTTTACAGTTGATGTATAATGATGTTCATGATAGCGGTGATGATGGTGATACTGATGCTGATGATGACGATGCTGTTGTTGATGATGATGATGATGATGCTGACGATTATGCTGATGATGCTGATGACGGTTATGATGATGCTGCTGCTGCTGATGATACTGAGTATGCGGCTGCTGCTGATGTTGTTGTTGATGCTGACGATAAGTTGATGTTGCTGCGGATGAGGCTGATGCTGATAATGATGCTGATGACGATGATGCTGCTGATGCTGACGATGATGCTGCTGACAATGACGATGCCGATGATGCTAACGACGATGACGATGACGACGATGACGATAACGATGATGATGCTGCGGCTGATGATGATACTGATGCTGGTGATGATGCTGATGCTGACGAGTATGAAGATGATGGTGACGGTGGTGATGATGCTGATGATGTTGCTGCTGATGATGATGCTGCTGCTGATGGTGGTGGCGATTATGTTGATGCTGCTGCTGATGATGATGCTGCTGCTGCTGATGATGATGATGATGGTGGTGGTGATGATGACGATGCTGCTGATGTTGGTGCTGTTGATGGGGATGCTGCCGCTGATCACTTGAAGGAGGAAGAGGAGGCGGAGGAGGAGGAGGAGGAGCAGGAGGAGGAGGAGGAGGAGGAGGAGGAGGAGGAGGGGGAGGGGGAGGGGGAGGGGGAGGGGCATGAGGGAGTCGGGGGCAGCGGGTGAGTCTTCATCTCTACCTCCGAGAGGCGCAACTCGTCTCGCTTGCGAGTGGCTGCTGGCGAGAACATTCGGCTTTGCAAGGGGTAGCCTGCGGGATCCATGGCGGATTGAGCATCTCGGGCCCACATTGGCACTGGTCCGATTCCCCTGAACTGGGATACGGAACCGATGGGCGGGGGTTGATTGCACCATGGCGCATCGCCCCCGAACTTGGGCGAGGAAAAAAACGAGAACTTATCATGCCATTGTCCCTCTACCTATCTCCCTCCCCTCCCTCCCTCCCCTCCCCTCCCTCCCCTCCCTCCCCCTTCCCTCCCTCCCCTCCCCTCCACTGCACACGAAAAAGGATCTCCCCCCCTCCCCTCCCTCCCCGCTCCCCCCTCCCCCGCTAGGTCGGCGCCCTAACGCCGCAAAAACTCTGCGGCTCGTACGCTTTCGAGGGAAGGGAGGAGGAGGAGGAGGAGGAGGAGGAGGAGGAGGAGGAGGAGGAGGAGGAGGAGGAGGAGGAGGAGGAGGAGGAGGAGGAGGAGGAGGAGGAGGAGGAGGGAGAGGAGGAGGAGGGAGGAGGGAGGAGGAGGAGGAGGAGGGAGGAGGAGGAGGAGGAGGAGGAGGAGGAGGAGGAGGAGGAGGGAGGACAAGGAGGGAGAGGAGGAGGAGGAGGAGGAGGGAGGAGGAGGAGGAGGAGGAGGAGGAGGAGGAGGAGGAGGAGGAGGGAGGAGGAGGAGGAGGAGAAGGAGGAGGAGGAGGAGGAGGAGGAGGAGGAGGGTGAGGAGGAGGAGGGAGGGGGAGGGAGAAAGGGCGGACTGGCTGGCTGGAGGAAAGGGATAAGGAGACTACGTTTCCCTTGTTGACGATCTTGGACGGCCCCTCTAAACCTGTCCGTCGTGCTTGTCAACGAAGACGTCGGAGGCCCGGGAGCAGGAGGGGGAGAAAGCTCTCGTGCCGACTGCAGCGATCCTCCACCGCAGCACGGACCGGAAGATCCGCACCTGCGTTGTCGTGTCCTCGCTTGGCCTCCCCCGTGCCGATCGCCCGCGCTCGAAGGCCGGTCGGCTCCAGCGCCCCGCTGCGCAGCGGACCTGGCTGCCTCTGCTGGCGAGCGAGGCGTCGGGCGCCGCGCCCCCCTCGTGCCAGCTGGGCCTTCGTTGGGGCCCGGGCCCCGCTGCCGAGGCCGGGCCCGCGGCTCCTCGCCCTCGGCGGCGGGGGCCACGGCCCGTGGAGCCCCGCTCGACGAGGCGCCGCCCCCGCCGCTCCCCAGCGCTGCAGCCTCCTGCTCGTCGGCGCCGCGGCGCCTCCGCCCGGCCCCTCGCGGGGCCGTCCCTCGGGGACGAACGAGGTGGGAGGGGTGACAGATGGCGGACGTACGAAGTCCCCTGCTCCCCCCCCCCCCCGACAAGAATTCTGCACAACTTGGGAGGGCACCCTCTGCTTCCGCCGGGGAAGAGGTGCCCACTCCTTCGATCCTCGAGGACGGGGGGGGCCTTCCTGGGGAGCGCCCCACATGAGCGACGATCAAAAACGGGTCTTGCGCGAGATGAGGCAGCGACCTTACGCGGTGGCCTACGCGGGCACCCAGCGCGGCACGCTACGTTGGCGACGAGGGCGCTCACGCGCGACCTTACGCGGGCAGCTTATGTGCCAGTGCTGGTGCAGTCGACCCCGTCTTTTTGCATTGCTTGCATGGCTGCCCCCTTCCCGTCGACATGGGCATTGGCACGCCTCTCGGCCCTCCCCCCGAGCTCCAGCGTCTTCTGCTCGGCCTCCCGGGTCTTCTTCCGGGTCTTCTCCTGCCGTGCGGCGGCCCCCCATCGCCCTCGTCCTGGCGCGCCCTCTCCTCCCTCCTCCCTCCTCCCTCGTCCTCCCTCCCTCGTCCTCCCTCGTCCTCCCTCCTCCCTCGTCCTCCCTCGTCCTCCCTCCCTCCTCCTTCCTCCTCCCTGCCTCCTCCTCCTCCTCGCCCTGCCGCGCTGGCCCTCCTCCGCTCCCCCCAGGGCCCTCCTCGTCCTCGCGGCGGCGGTGGCCTCCCCCCCTCCTCGCCGCTCCCCCTCCCCCTCCTCCCCCTCCTGAGCGCCTGGGGAGGCCCCTGCCCCTGGAGGCGCAACCAAAAAAAGAGCCCAGGCAATCCCACACCTGGGCCCTCGATCCTCGAAGCTCGATCCTCCGTGCGGAGGCCCCCGCCTCCTCGACACTCGCCCCCCTCCCTCCCTCCCTCCCTCCCCTCCCCTCCCATCCCTCCCTCCCTCCCTCCCTCTCTCCCCTCCCTCTCTCCCCTCCCTCCCTCCCTCCCTTCCTCCCTCCCTCCCTCCCTCCTCCTCTGGAGGAGGGAGGGATGGGGCCTCCAGAGGAGCCCGCAGAGGTGTGCCTGCTCCCGGAGGCCCAGAGACGGGCCTAAGCCGCCCACGCCCTTGACCCTCGATGGTCGAGGGCCAAGGGCGAGTGTCGAGGAGGCGGAGGCCACCGCACGGAGGATCAAGATCAAGGATCGAGGGCCCAGGCGTGGGACGGCCGGGGCCCTTTTTTTGGTTGCGCCTCCAGGGGCAGGGGCCTCCACCTCTCCTCGCCGCTCCCCCTTCCCCAGGCGCCTCCAGTGGCAGGGGCCTTCGACAGTCATTGTAGGAACTCTATCCCTGTCCCTCTGTCCCTCCACCCACCACTCCGCCACCCCTGCGGCCGAGCGGGGGGCTGCAGTTTGGGGGGGCGAGGTCCACGCAAGGGGGGAAGCCCCGAGCAAGAGAGCGGCGGAGCAGAACCCTTCCCGCCAGCTTGCTCATCCGCTCCCTCCCCCCCAATCCCCTCCTGCTGCTGCTGCTGCTGCTGCTGCTGCTGCTGCTGCTGCTCCTCCTCCTCCTCCTCCTCCTCCTCCTCCTCAAGGATGGTGGATCGAAGCTCTTTGGGACCCTTTCGGGCCTTGCTGGGCGTCCAGAAACCTCTGGTGGATTCCAAGGGCCCTGAAGGGACGTTTGGGAAACCTTCCCTCCCGTTCCCACCTTCCCCTCCCTGACCCTGCTGCCTGGACCGCGTCCTACGCGTCGTCCTCCTCCTCCTCCTCCTCCTTGCTCCTCCTCTTCGTCGTCGTCGTCGTCATCGCCGCCGCCGCCGTGTTGTCGCCATCGACGTCGTTGTCTTCGCCATCCTCGTCGTCGCCCTACTCCTTCCCGCCTGCTAGAATTCCTAGTGCTGCGGCTCCTCCTCCTCCTCGCCGCCCTCCTCCTCCTCCTCCTCCTCCTCCTCCTCCTCCTCCTCCTCCTCCTCCTCCTCCTCCTCTATCTTCTCCTCCTCCTATTGCTCCTCCTACTGCTCGTCTTCTTCTTCCTCCTCCTCCTCCTCCCTCCTCCTCCTGAGCGAAGGTGGGGGAGGGGAGGGGGGGGGAGAAGAGAGGATGGCAAGGCAAGCTAGGTGCGCTCGCGTCATATCTGAAGTCCTACCCCTCCCTCCCTCCCATCCCTTACCATGGCGTAGATCTCGTCTCTATTCGCACACTCGGATGTCGAGAAGGGCAATGATCGCGAGAGGGTACTCGATACATGGTAGAGCACGGCGTGGCATGGCGTAGAAGAGCACGGCAGAACGTAGCATGCCGTAACATGGCGTGGCATGGCGCACTGAAGCATTGCATCACAAAACGCTGCAACGCAACACGTGGCATCGCACAGAAGCACACAACGCAACACCGCACAACATGTCATGGCATGACGCCGGGTTCCTTGGAGGGTAAGTGGATCGTCTTCGAGAGGTCTGGGCCGGTCTGGAGTCGTGGCTCGCTGTCTAGCTCCTTGGGCTCCCCGGAAAGCTCCACACAAGGACAAGGCGGGGCTGATGGGGAGCACCCGCTGGCTCTGCTTCCAACACCGCCTTCTCAAAGCAGAAACAAGGCTCCCGCTTGATACTTCCTGAAAACGACGACGCCCCCAGGTGGGGGGAAACTTCTGCTGCCCAAGGAACTAACGAATCGACACCGAATGTGTAATCACTTTCGATGTTTTTTTCGGGGGGGGGGGGGGGCATTTTCTAGGAGCTGTGGCTCGTTTGGAAGGACCGAAAACGCCCGCGCTGCATCGGGAGAACAACCAGAGGCGCAGAAATGGGGCCAGCGCTCCAACGGGAGCAACATTGAGGAACACGAGCCCAAGCGAAAACCCATATTCCGGGAGTCCTGTATAAAAAACAATACGCGGAGGGGGGCCGGATATTTCTGGACGTCGTCAGAGGAGAAAGGAGAGTAATATTCACTTTTATAGTGTAATGTGCAGCAGGAGGAAGATGACTCAACTAGAAGGATTCAATGAGAAATCGTCGCGGCACCGATCACAAGAGCCCAATATCATCGGTGGAAACTGACGCCAACACCGACGACCCTGGGACCTCCGTGACCAGACACATACACGGGCGGTGCCGAGGAGGAGGATGCGGAGATGGAGGAGGAGGAGGAGATGGAGGAGATGGAGGAGGAGGAGGAGGAGGGAGGTAGGAGGAGGAGGTGGAGGAGAGGAGGAGGAGGAGGAGGAGCGAGGAGGAGGAGGAGGAAGGAGGAGGAGGAGGAGGAGGAGGAGGAGCAGGAGGAGGAAGACGAGGAGGAGGAGGAGGAGGAGGTGTTGGAGAAGGAGGAGGAGGAGGAGGAGGAAGAAAGAACGGAACAATAACGGACGAGGGAGGAGGATGATGAGGGGAAGGGATGAGGCTGCCTGGGCGAAGGAGGCACAGGACAGCACCTGACGAGGAGCAGAGGCCAGGAGATGGTGGCAGTGGAAGGTGAAGAGGGTGGGGACCAGGAGCGCCCGAGAGCCAGCGGAGGCCAAGGCTCGCCAGGGAGGGCGAGGACCAGGAGGAGCGGGTGCCGAGCCGCGCGGCCAGATGTATAAAAAATCACTCCCCCGACGCCCGCGCGCCGCGCGGCGGGGCGGCGCCCCGAGCTCCCGCGCGGGGGTGCCGCGCCGGAGGCCCCGAGCGCGGGCTGCCCCCGGCGGCCCCGACACGCCGCGCGCGTGCGGACGCGGAGCTCACAGCACGGAGGCCGCAGCCGCACGCGGGGCGCGACCCGGTCGCCACGACGGGGAGGCCCGCACGCTGAGCCACGACGCAGCGCGTGAGCGTGGACGCTTGGAGCACACGATGCGTGCTGCGCTTCGAGGCCGGCGCATCGGGGCAGCTGAGCTCACGGCTCGACGGGCGGAGGGCCGGCTCGACGGGCGGAGCCCCCATCACAGGCTGCCGCCCATGGCCGCCGTGGCCGCCTTCGAGGCGGAGTCCTCCTGCCCGGTGTTCGGCAGGGCGTAGAGGTTCTCGGTGTCCGAGAACGCCTCGCAGCGGGCCTTGACGAACAGCGTGGTCAGGTGGTCTGCCTCGTAGGTCTTCTCGTCGTACTTGGTGTACTTCAGCTCGACCTGCTTCGGGCTCTGGCCGATGTTGAAGGGGCGGCCATTGACCTGCACGCGGCCCTTGTTCACCTTCTCGGGGAACACACCGTCGGCCGGGTGCATGAACTGGACGGTGCCGTCCTTCTTGAGGCGGTAGATCTTGTAGTTCTCGATCTTCATCTTGCGGAGCTGCTTGCCGAGTGCGATGCACTGCTCCTTCTTCCTGAAGTAGCACAGGTTCTCGCCCTTGTTCATGACCGCCACGCCGAGGATGGGCATCTCGAAGACGAAGGCCTCCTTGGCGGTCCACGTGATGGCGTGGCGCTCGCGGGTGCCCTTGGACATGTAGCCGTTGGTGCCCCCCATGAACATCGGAAACTTGGGCGACTCCAGGAGGTCCTCCCAGGGACTTCCAGGGCCACATAAGCAGACCCGGCGGTCGGAAGAGGTGTGTAGGGTCTCCGCCTGCCCCGCGACGAGGAGGGAAGACGAAAATACCGCTCGATCGTTGAAGTAGGAAAGCGCCTGAAGTAGATTGGGATCTGGGAAACCAGAAATACCCACTATCAACGACTGGCGAATAACCTCTCGGAATTTCCCTGGACGCTTTCATCGTCGGCGCCGGACCCCCTCCCCCCACACCCCTCGCCCTGGCGTCAAGGGTCTCGCGCCGGCGGAGACACCGTCCGAGGACGTCCGACAGCTCATGCACAATGTGCCGGGGAAACTTGAGACTCGGGCTCGGGGGAGTCGGAGTGGCCGGATGAGGCCATCATGAAAATGACCCGACCCAATCTGAAATTTGACGCGAGCTCCCGCTGCAGACATCCTATGAAACCTGGACCGTCAAATCCCACGGCGGGCTCTCGTCAGCGTCCTCATATCCAAGTTCCGGCGTACTCCTCGAGTATTGCGTAGACAAGCGCGTTCCACTACTCGCAAAGTAACTACTCGCAAACGGCCTGGATCCGCCGCGGGGGATTTACGCTCTGTTACATCGAGGCGCACCTGCGTTTTCAAGACGCTTGTGAGCAGGCGCTTTGCGAGTAGTGGAACGCGCTCGGTGACTAACCCTATGCCTCTGAGAATAACACCCAGAGAATGATAAAATTCGGGGTCTCGGGGGGATAATGAACGATTTGCCCCGGCAAGTCGTACGTGGGATGTATGACGAGGAAAGAAGAGGTCGTCGTCGTCGTCGTCGTTGTCGTGGTCGTGGTCGTGGTCGTGGTCGTCGTCGTCGTCGTCGTCGTCGTCGTCGTCGTCGTCGTCGTCGTCGTCGTCGTCGTCGTCGTCGTCGTCTCACCAAGACGACGACGATCACGACGACGACGATCACGACGGCGACGCATGTGGTGCTCTGGCTCACCGTCCTCGGGGCGGGGGATGAACTCGATCTCGAACTCCTTCTTCGCCTTCTTCGCCTTGGCCGGCTTCTCCTCCGCCTCCGCGCGGCGGCGCACGAGCAGCCCGCGCGAGGCCGCGGCCGCCACGAGCGAGCCCGCGGCGAGGGCGGCCAACGCCCCGGCGCCCGCCGGCTCGCTGGCGCCGGCCACTGGCGGCGCGGAGCCTTTGAGGGCGCCAACTGTACCTCCTCCTCCTCCTCCTCCTCCTCCTCCTCCGACTCCCCGTCCTCCTCCTCCTCCGCCGCCTCCTCCTCCTCCTTCTCCTCCTTCTCCTCCGCCGCCGCCGCCGCCGCCTCCTCCTCCTCCTCCTCCTCCTCCTCCTCCTCCTCGTCCTCCTCCTCCTCCTCCCCCTCCTCCTCCTCCTCCTCGCGTCCTCCTCCTCCTCTCTTCTCACTCCTCGCTCCTACCATCCCCTGGCTCATGTTTCCTGATGGCGTCAGAGTGCTCCGCTCCCTCCCCCTCCCCTCCTCCTCCTCCTCCTCTCCTCCTCCTCCTCCTCCTCACCACCCTCCTCCTCCTCTTCCTCCTCCTCCATCCTCCTCCTCCGCCTCCGCCTCCGCTTCCTCCTCCTCCTCCTCCTCCTCCTCCTCCTGTTTCCTGTTTCCTGATGGCATGAACTCCGTAGCCATTTTGGCTCGCGCCAGGTGCCTGGCGCCCACAGCCGCTGGTTCAAAGCGTTCGGCCGCTAGCGGCGTGCGAGAACCTGCCGCCGTGGCGCGAGGGCCCGAGTGGCCACACGACCTTCGGCGGTGCGGGGCGTTGGCATGAAGATGGCGACGGGGGGCCAGACAGCTGGGCGGTCGGCGCCAACGGTGCTTACTGGAGATCGCACGGCGCTCGGAGGGCGGCTCAGCAGTGGGCGGCCTACTCGCGGAGCGGCTGGTGCAGAAGCAAGCGGAGAAGCTGCGCACGCTGGAGCAGCTGACCGGGGTTTCGCCTAGCGTTGGGCGACGGTTAACGATGGTAGCTCTGGTACTGGAGGCGCAGGGAGATGAGCGCGAGGTGCTGCCTGAGGACGTGCTCAGGCGCAACGTCGGGTGCCACGCCAAGCACGTTCCCCCCGTTGGAACGCCGTTGGCAGCCTGGCGGCAGGCTCAGCGAGGGCCCCGCCTGCCGCGCCCGCGCGGCCAGGGCCCAGAGAAAGCCGCCGCCAGAGGCGCGGCGCCCGTGGAGTGCCTCGTGGAGATCTGCGTGGCGGAGACCGTGGCGCCTGCGAGGGCCGCGCAGGCCGCGCAGCTGGCGCGCAGTTCCACCATCTGGGACGTGGAGGCGCGGCCTTTCTGTGCGACGCCGACGCGGAGGGGCTGCTGCACGCGCTGGGTGTCGTGTAGGCCTACGGCGGCAGCCCCATAGCTGGCGCTGGGAATGCAGGGGAGCCTAGGGGCCTTGGGCCAACAGGCAAGCCAGCAGTCCCAGCGTCGTCGCATCGGGTAAATGTCGGCGGTGACGCGGCCCTTCAGGACGCCCCTGGCAGCTGCAGCAGCACCAACGGGGCCGACATGGACGCGCAGTTCGAGTCGGTGGGGTTGCCATGCCCTGCCGAGAGTAACACGGACGGGCGCTCAGAGGGGACTGCCGCGACCCGCAGCATCGCCGTGCAGACCGATCGGAGGGAGTTCGTTCAGCTGCAGCGGCAGCTGGAGAAGCACTCTTGAGTCGTTCTTGACCTGGGAAGGAACTTGAACAACTGTGTGGAGCGCTGTCTCGTCCTTGAAGAGATGCTCGAGGACAGCGAGGGCACCAAGGAGCCTCAGATCGTGCATCCGCTGTCGCCGAGGTGGCTGCAGGAGGCGATCTTCATGCAGCAGCTGCAGCAGTCGAAGGTGCTCAAGCAGGAGATCGAAGATCAGAAGGGCGAGAGCGCCCACTGGAAGGCGCGGCTCAATGAACGAACCGAGCTTTGCCACGAGCTCGAGCAGGAGGTCGAGCAGCGGGACGAGATGTGCCACTCGCTGCGCGCGCTGCTGGCGGAACCCATGCAGCAGCTGCGCGGGGAGCACTGCGGCTTCGCGCACCCCCATGGAGGTGCCCGACGTGCCGCCCAAGCTCGACACGATTGCCGAGGAGATGGAGAACCAGGGCGGCGGCGGCACCGAGCTCTCAGCGGAGAAGCTCGACGAGGACTCCCAGGGGCCGGAGGGCGTGCAGCATGTGGAGATGTAGGCCCACGCGGGGCCCTCCTCAGCCGTGCGGCCTCGTCGAGGGGGCCGACGGCGGAGAGAGAGCCGCCGGCGAGCAGGGCGAGCCCAAGGACCCGCAGCATTCCTGCGGAGGCCGACCCGACGGCCAACTTCGAGAATGTTGGGAGCGCGATGGCCCCGAATCCAGGCAAGAGCCTGGTGGCGCGCGCGGCAGCTCGTTGCACGCGCCTGGACGGGTGGCCCCGTCGCGGGGGTCCCGCTCGCGTTCGACAAGGCCTGGCTCCTCGGGTGGGGACGCCTCTCCGAGAAGTTGCCGAACGAGGCGCTGGGCAAGGGCGTCACGGAGCGCCTGGCGAGAGCGAGCTGGCAGCACCTCTTCCAGCTCGTGGCCGACGAGATGGGCTACGACACGCGCTCCCAGGCCGAGCTTGATGCCAAGATGGCGCGGCTCGACAAAGAGGAGCTCGCGCGGCAGCGGCGTGCAGGGCCGCCGACGAGGGAGAGCGTGGAGCAGGCAGACGGGGGGCTGGCGGTCAGCGCGCAGGCGTGCTGATCGGGCGCGCGGCGCACCTTCCCCTCCGCCCCAGCCCGTGCCTCCCTCCTCAGCTGACACGGTCGGCGCACATCGGGGGAGCACAAAAACGCAGATGGGAAGAGAGTGCTCCGCCCCTCCTCCTCCTCCTCCTCCTCCTCCTCCTCCTCCTCCTCCTCCTCTCCTTCTTCTTCTTCTTCCTCCTCCTCCTCCTCCTCCTCCTCCTCCTTTTCCTCCTCCTCCTCCTCCTCCTCCTCTTTCCTTCTCTCCTCCACCGCCGCCTCCTCCTCTTCCCTCCTCTTCCTCTCCTCCTCCTCCTCCTCCTCCTCCTCCACCCTCCTCCTCCTCACTCCTCCTCCTCCTCTCTTCCTCCTCCTCTTCCCACGGTTCCTGTTTCCTGATTGCATGAGTGCTTCCGCTCCCTCCTCCTCCTCCTCCTCCTCCTCCCCTCCTCCGACTATCAAGCCTTTCCCTTTTCCTGTTTCCTGATGTCATGAAGTGCTCGCCTCCTCCTCCACCTCCTCCTCCTCCTCCTCCTCTTCCTCCTCCTCCCCTGTTTCCTGTCCTGATGGCATGAAGAGTGCTCCGCTCCTCCTCCTCCTGCTCCTCCTCCTCCTCCTCCTCCTCCCCCTCCTCCCCCTCCTGTTCCTCCTCCTCCTCCTCCTCTTCCTCTTCCTACTCCTCCTCCTCCTCATCCTCCTCCTCCTCCTCCTCCTCCTCCTCCTCCTCCTCCTCCTCCTCTTTTCCTCCTCTTTTCCTCCTCCTCCTCCTCCTCCTCCTCCTCCTCCTCCTCTCTTCCTCCTCCTCTTCCCGCGGTTCCTGTTTCCTGATGGCATGAGAGTGCCCCGCTCCTCCCCCTCCTCCTCCTCCGCCGCCTCCTCCTGCTCCTGCTTCCTCCTCCTCCTCATCATCCTCCTCCCCTCCTCTTCTCTTCTCTTCCTCCTCCTCCTCCTTCTCCCACGGTTCCTGTTTCCTGGTGGCATGAGAGTGCTCCGCTCCTCCTCCTCCTCCTCCTCCTTTCCCTGTTCCTGTTTCCTGATGGCACGAGAGTGCTCCGCCCCTCCTCCTCCTCGTCCTCCTCCCCCTCCGCCTGTTTCCTGTTTCCTGATGGCATGAGAGTGCTCCGCTCCTCCTCCTCCTC